AGCAATGCTACCATTAATTAGCATACTTTATTCTGGAAACTTCTTTTGCAATAGGAGTCATAGGAGTAAGTTCCCCAGGCAGAGAGATGGTTTGGTTTGGTAGAATGAGTCCTGGGAAGGGACTCAAAAGATCATGGCTCTAGATTTGGTTCTGCTATATAATGTTGGGCAAGTTCTTTCAATTCTGTGTGCCTAATCTTAACCCCAAAAGGACTAAAAAAAAGTCATTCTGTGGTTCCTCTCTCTCCCTCAATCTTTCTACATTCCCATCAGTGCCATCTTTTCAAGACATGGATACTTCTACTCCTCAGAACTGAAGCGTGGCAGAGTTTTTTGCCAAGCTCAGGAATTTGGACTGCAAACTTTATTAAGGAGCATCTCTTTTTTTGGCTTCATGTTCCATTTTAAATGTCAGAAACATACCCTTCCCCTTCGACATCCAAGGCAGCAGCCAGTTCTGTAAAGAGCAGCCCTGTGAGAAAGTGCTGCTGGCGGTACTCCGGAGTCAGGTCAAACATGCTGGCGATCTTCTGGTCCTGGAAACTGGAGCAGGAGCTCGAATTCTACAGAAGCACAGGAACAGTTTTATAAATAACAAGAACTGGAATTAAAAGAACAGTGCCTGGTATTTATGGAGTCCTTGCTCCAGCCAGACTTTGTGAGATACGTACTGCTAGTATTCCATGTGACAGAAAAGGAAACTGAGGCATGAGTGGTTACATCACTTTACCATTCCCACAGATGGAGGACTGCCAAGTGAAAAAGATGAAAATAAAGCATTCAGGGTCTATTGAAAAATGAATATCACTCCCTTCCCTACCTGAAGGTGATGATTAAAATCCTAGAATGAAATCTGGATAGGGAAATAAGAACCACATCTAATCCTGTGGCTGTGAGCAGGCAATTCCTCTAGAACCAACTGCCCCCTTTGTTTAAGGTCCCTGTTCACTCCGCTGCACTTCTGAATATGGATTAAGTGCATTGAATTTTGCTGGCCTGGAACTAGAAGTAGTGTCAGGCAGGGAAGTGTTAGATTTACTAGTCCTAGGTAATTCCTGTCCTGTGTTCTTATCCTGGGAGCACACTTTATATTTCACTAACAGCATCTAAAGTGTCTCTGGAAATCCTTCACGGCTTGGTAAGCCAGGCCTTGGGATTTGGTAAGTCCCTGGGGCAGTCGGAAGGGGAATGTGGGGAGAGGACCTGAGGCAAGGTTAGGTCCATGGTAGTCTTAGGATGGAATCTGCTGGGCAGGATGCAGCAGAAAGTTTACATATTTGGAATTGCTGCTTGTAAGTCAGACCTTTCCCAGTCCATGTTAAGATGGTCACGTAGCGCACAGCTGGATGTCATCTGGCATAAATGGCTCAGATTTTTTTCCATTAATAAGACAAGCCTTCACCTCTGTGCTAGTATCAAGGAATACGCAACAGAAACAGAACCTAATAAAGAGAAGTTTTGCCTGCTGCTCTAAACTACTGATTTGTTCCCTATAAATGAAATGTGACTATAAAACAGCATTTCCTTAAAGTTGTTCTAGAGGACACTAGTCCTTTGAGCAATCTATGGGGTGGGAGTGGGATTTCTATATATCAAATCACTTTGGGAATCACTGTTTATTACACGTCCCTCCTCTCATTTCCTCTTCCACTTCTTGGGCATTTACAATTTACATTAACTAGTTAAAGATTCTTGGATGGCCTAATGCAAAGAAACCTGGTTGACAT